TGAACAAGAATTTATCTATCTATCTATCTATCTATCCATCTATCTATCTGTCTGTCTGTCTGTCTGTCTGTCTGTCTGTCTGTCTGTCTGTCTGTCTGTTGTGGAACCTGAACTCTGGGCCTGGGTGCTGTCCCTCAGCCCTTCAGCTCAAGGCTAGCGTTCTACCACTTGAGCCACAGTGCCACTTGCGGCTTTTTCTGCCTATGTGGTGCTGAGGAATCGAACCCAGGGCCTCAGGCATGCAAGGCAAGTGCTCTACCACTGAGCCACCTTCCCAGCCTGAACAAGATTTTATTTTGCCAGTTCTGAGACTTGAACTCAGGTCCTTGCACTTTTGCTTGGTTTGCTTGCTCATCTAGGGCTCTACCACTTGAGCTGTACCTCCAGTCCAGCTTTTTCTGTTGATTAGTTAGAAGATGCAGTCTCAAAAACTTCTCTGCTTGGGCTAGCCTGGAACCTTCATCCTCCAGATCTCAGCCTCCAGGAGTACCAGGTGGCGAGTCACCAGGTCACAGCTTGGGTAAGATTTTCTTTAAAAACTTTCCCCCCCCAACTCAGTTTCCTTCCCAGTAAAATGGGGGGTTGTGATGATAGATTCTAATCTCATTAGTTTACTGTGAAAGTTAGATGATTTAATATAGGTAGGAGATTTAAATATACCTAAGGCATGGTTACTGGGCATGGCAGGTCTTCTGTAAGGTGTGGGCTAGCATAGACAAATCAGTCACCTTCTGGGGGTGAAGGTGGTACAGCCAAGTCCCCAGGCTTCTGGAACCCCTAGCCCCCATTCCAGGAATCACAGGCACAGCGCTGCTCTCCAGCGCCCCCTGCTGTCCAAGCCACCCCCCCCCAGGCGGCTTACCTGCGCAGCGCGCCCTGGCGACCTCCGCGGGCCCTAGCAGCGAGCGGTAAATCTCCTCCAGCCTCTGCAGGTGTCCTGCCGCCTGGCCCTCGCTGGCCTCGCCCACCGACACCTGCTCCACCGCTGCCACCACGGCGTGGAAATAGTGCTCCAGGATGCGGCGGGAGCTGGCCTGCGGGGGAAGGGGTTATATCCGAGCCCGAGGCCCGGCCTAGCTCTAGGGCCAGGTCCTTGCTCTGCCACAGCTTGGGGGTCCCCCTGCCTCTCATACCCTAAGATGGAGAGACCGCTGGTGGCCTGTCACTTTAAGGAGCAGCCCAGCAGTAAGAGAATTACTCTGGTTGGGAAGGTGCCTTAGTGGTAGAGTGCTAGCCTAGCATGCATGAAGCCCTGGGCTCAATTCCTCAGTACCACATACACAGAAAAAGCCAGAAGTGGCACTGTGGTTCAAGTGGTAGAGTGCTAGCCTTGAGCAAAAGAAGCTCAGAGACATTGCCCAGGCCTAAGTTCAAGCCCCAGGACTGAGGAAGAAAGCAAGCAAGCAAGCAAGAAAGAAAGAAGGAAGAGAGAAAGAAAGGGAGGGAGAGAATTATTCTGTGCATACATCTGGAGCTTGCTATTTTTCTCGTGTGCTTCTGTGGAATGTTTCTGTCTTTTAAGTAGCTGGGTAATATTCCACTTTGCACACACTGACTGAGCCTGGTGCTGTGAATGTATCCTGTAATCTCTTTTTATACGCTTTGTTTTAAATGAATAAGACACCAAAATTCAAATGTACAGAGAGTGTTCTTATTTGCTTAGGAAGAATGTAACAGAAGGTTAGGGGAGGAGTTGGGTTGGGAGGGATGGGGAAGAATGATGAAAGAGATGACATTGATCAGGATGCATTGTATTTATAAACTGATTTGTTGAATTACGTAAAGATAATAATAATAATAGTTTTTTTAAAGAAAGAAAGAAAAGACATTGCCCAGGTGCCTGCACCCCCCCCCTGCCCCTTCTACCAAAGAATACAAGACTTGAGGATTGGAGGTTTCCAGAGGGCAAACAGCAAGAAGAGCCACATGTCTGGTGTATTGGGATGGGCAGAGCAGGGTCCTTCCTGGGGCAGGACAGCGGGGACAAGTGTAGAGAAGCTGTGGACAAGTGGACCCTTAAATGGGATCCTGGCCCCTCCCACAGAGGCAGCTCCAGGTCTCTGAGTCCCAGCAGCTCTTAGCTATTATTTACTTCAGCCTTTCCCAACTTCTGGAGTATCCATCACACCCCACAAAAGGTCACTCCCAACTGACAGCAGCCCTTCCCCTTCCAAAATGTTCAGCACCTGTGGCTGACTCTCTGCTGTCCTCGGCCTGCTGGGCTCCCCCAGGCCCTGCGCAAACTCAGGGGTGAAATCTCAGAAGAGCCAGGAAGTACGCAGTGTTGGGAGCTAGCTGATGTTGCATAACAACAGAGCATTGGCTATATGTAACAGCACATGCATAAAACAGAATGTGGTGAAACCACCCGAAGTCCATATTTTCCATCCAGTATCATGGTATAAGCCTGTAATCTCTGCTACTAGGTAAGCAGAGGCAGGAGGGTTGGGAATTCAAGGACAGACCCTGCAAAATTAGGGGCACCTTATCTTTAAAACTGCAAACAAAAGCTGGGCTATGATGTCTCATGCCTGTCATCCTAACTACTTAGGAGACTGAGATCTGAGGATCATGATTCAAAGTCAGCCTGGGCAGGAAAGGCTGTGAGACTATTGTCTCCAATTAACCACCAGAAAACCAGAAGTGGCACTGTGGCTCAAATTGGTAGAGTGCTAGTCTTGAGTAAAAGGAACTCGAGGATAGTGCCAAGGCCCTGAGTTCAAGCCCCAGAACCAGAAAAAAAAAACAAGCAAAAGGGCTGAGGGGGTGGCTTAAGTGGCATAGCACTCGTGGGAAGCCCTGGGTTCAAGTCCTAATACTACAGAAAAAAGTATATATTTTTGAAGGAATAGATTCTCAAGTGCCATGTCTCTGATAGTGAAGGAAACCTTTATGTTTCTGCACCAGTGGCTTACCCTGTAATCCTAACTACCCGGGAGGCTGAGACCTGGAGGATCATGATTCAAAGCCAGTTTCCAGGCTGAAAAATCTACAAGACCCAATTCATTAGTAAAATTCTGTGCTGGAGGAGTGTCTCAAGTGGTAGAGAGTCAGCCTAGTAAGCAGGCTGAGAGACCCTGATTTTAAATCCTGGTACTGGCAAAATAATAATAATGATAATAAGAATAATAACCATAAAAAGTTACTGCTTTTGATCTATTTTTCACAAAGGAGTGGGGATGGAGGCTAAAACATAAGCTTTACATCAGAGAGATCAGAGTTTAAATCCTAGTTCAGTCCCTTTGTAGCTATGTGAATCCAGGGAAAAATTTCAACCTCTCTGGGTCTCAGTTTCCCCATCTGTTGATGTAGAGGATGAATGCATTCATTGCACAATGCTGTGGGGAGAATTTTAAAATGTGACATCAAGGGTTTAACACAGTGTTTAGGCCCCAACAGTGAATAAATAAACAAGCTATTATAGGATGGGAGCCATTATTAAGGAAATAAACCAAAATGTTCATTGCTGTGCTCTCTAGATATAGAACTTGAGCCCTTTTCATTTTTCTTCTCCTTTTTCACACACATGTGCCTCGGCAACCACATATTCCTTGGTGATCTGTAGGGATTTACAGGGACAGGGGACAAGAAGCAGGTAGACACACAAGGGCCCGGATGGATGTCAGTTACCTGCAGCTTCCGGTGCACAGCACCTATGTGGCAGGCCTCCCCCAGGGCGGCCTGCAGGGCGTGGGCGACCACGTGGCGCATGCAGGCCTCGGGGCTCTGCTGCTCCTGCGCTGCCTGGATCTCCAGCAGCAGCGCGCTGCACACTGAGGCAGACACCAGCTCCGGGTCCACAAAGAGGAGCACCCTGGGGGCAAGGGTAGAGGGCCACTGGTGGGCACCACAAAGCTTGGTGGGTGTCCTCCCCCCCCCCACCCTCAGCTAGGGACTTGGGTCTTTGGTGTAACATTCAACTCCTCTTAAAAATGAGTTTCAGGCCGGGCGCTGGTAGTTTACACCTGTAATCCTAACTACTCAGGAGGCAGAAATGTGAGGATCAGGGTTCAAAGCCAGCCCAGGGAGGAAAGTCCATGAGACTCTAATCTCCAATTAACCACCAGAAAATCAGAACTGCGGTGGCTCATAGTGGTGAGCAGAAAAGCTTAGAGACAACACCCAGGCCCTGCATTCAAGCCCTACGACCTCACCCCCATGCCGGTACATAAAAAAAAAGATCTTCAAAAGTCTTGGAGTGAGGCTGACAATAAGGAGCGTTCCATCTTTCTAAGGGTCGAGAGTGGTGTTCTCAGCCATGCAAGTCCACTATTTCCACCAGGGGCAGGGATTGAGTCCCATGTCTGTGGGAATTCTAGTTTTTTTTTTTTTAAATAATCCTTTTTCTGGGGGCCAGTGGCTCATGCCTGTAATCCTAGCTACTCAAGAGGCTGAGATCTGAGCATCACAGTTCAAAACCAGCCCAGGCAGGAAAAAGTTCGTGAGACTCTTATCTCCAAATAACCGCCAGAAAACCAGAAGTGGCACTGTGGCTCAAGTGGTAGAGTGCTAGCCTTGAGCTGAAGAGCTGAGGGACAGCGCCTAGGACCACAGTTCAAGCCCCACGACCGACAAAAAAAAAAAAAAGAGGCTGAAGGTGGCAGCCACCCTGGGCCCTCTCACCTTTCCTGGTAGGGGTACAGTTCGCTCCTCAGGTTCTGTTCAGCAATGACCATCCTTTGGTATAGCGTCCCTGCAAACCAGACCCTCTGTCAGCCAGCCAGCTTTCCTCTTTACAAGGCGCTGCTGCAGAGACTTTGGAGCTCCCTGGCATCCTGGAGAAAAGAGGCAGTCTTGGAAGTGCTGCTTGTCTGGTAGCCTAGGCCTTCCGGCTCTCACCTGGGACGGCAGTCTCTGTTTTCAGCTGTACGGCACAGTCCAAGGCGACTGTGCAGTAGGGGGCAGGCAGGGTCAGCAACCTGGTGCACAAGGTGTAGCTTCTCTGGTACAGCTCCTCAGGGACTCCCGTGGCCTGGGGGAAAGGCAGAAGTTGGGGTACACAGAGAGCCATTCATTCATGAATGGCCTTGGGTGGGAGGGAGGAGAGAGGAGGGGATCCTCTCTGCCTCTTCACACCTTCTAGCCTCTTCTGCCAGTAGGTTTGAGACCTCTCTTTGATAGAAATATATCCCATGCCTGCCATTGGGATGAACTCCCCTCCGAATCCTTCTGCCCTATGCAGGGAGGTACACATTGGGGTTTCACCAGGCTCAAAAGCTTGGAACTCCTTCTGGGGTCTCCTTTGCTCCCCTGCATCCCACAGGCATTGATACCCACAGTGCCCCCAAGGCTCTCTTGCCTTCCCAGCCTCAGGGCCCCGATTGCCTGACGCCCTTCCCCAGGGCATGCAAACCTATAGGGACCAACCGGGTAGCACATATATGAACAGCACAAGTATTTCCAGGGGCCACTGAGCGCCTCCCTGCCCTCCAGCTTCATCTCTGGGGAGGGGGAAAGTGCATGGGGTGTGGCAGGCTGCCCAGGAGTTGGCCTAGGCTCACTCAGGCAGAGATGAGGCACTCACTAAGGGAAGAGGAGAGTGTGGAGCTCAGGTACTCATGGGCCGTGGGCTGCCTCCCTCCCCGTTGGGGCCCCTCCGGCTCACCTTGGTGAGCACGTACATTAGCGTATGCAGCAAGGGGATGAGGACATGCTGGTGGTCCTCACCTTCTGCCTGCAAAACAGGAGAGCCCAGCTGGGCACATGGCAGTGGCTCATGCCTGTAATCCCACCTAGAGGAAAGTCCATGAGACTCTTATCTCCAATTAACCACCAAAAAGCCAGAAGTGGAGCTGTGGCTCAAGTGGTAGAACACCAGTCTTGAGCAAAAAATCCTCAGGGACAACACCCAGGCCCTGAGTTCAAGCCCCCGTACTCTCTCTTTCTCTCTCCCTCTCTCTCTTACACACACACACACACACACACACACACACACACACACAAACATGTCTGATAAAAACGAAGCTGATCATCCACATTTAGGGGCTCTGTGTGGCTGTAGCTCAGCCCCATCCCAGTGGTCCCCCTCTCTTCCTCTCACTCCCTCAAGCCTGCACACACCCACCTTCTCCAGCTCCCGGAGCAGAATGCGCACCAACACTGGGCTTTTAGCAGGATCGCGATCTACCTTCTTGTGCAGGGACCATCTCCACATGCCTGGGCCAGGGGACAAGGGAGCCCAGCATGATGGGGCGGCGGGGCTGGGAGCTCTTAGAGGAGATGACCCTGAACCCCACAACCCAGATGGTGACTTTGACCCTGTGGCTCATTAGGCCCACAGGGGGGGCATCCCATCAGCAGCCAGTGGCACAGTTCCCAAGGCAGAAGGGGGGGGTGAATTGGGGACAGGTGTGTGTGTGTTTCAGAGCAGCAGCTGTCTGCAGGTGGGTACCCCAGTCACTTTTGAGGGGTGGGGATCTGTGGATTGCTGAAGGGGAGGAGGTAGGGAGGGACTGGGTGTGCTGGGGAAGGTGGTGAGAAGAAGCTCCTCCCCCGCCTCTCCCCCCCCTGCTGCCCATAGATACTGGTAACAGCAAACCAGGAGCAGGGAAGCGTGTGGATGCTCAGGGCTCCAGGTATTTCCAGCAGGAGAAGGTGGATAGACTGGAGGCCCCTCCTGGTGAGTTCCAAAGTGGGGAGGACCTCTCCTGAGCTGCCCCAGGGGGGTAGCTCTGCCTGCAGGCCAGCTCTCACCCTGGTTGCTCTGTAGCGTGGTGGCCGGGGTACTGAGCTCACGCAGCACAGCCTGCACGCTCCTCTGCAGGTCCAGCTCCACATCTGGCAGGCACAACATTGAGGAAGAGAGCTTTGAGAAAGTCCCCTCGCCCTGGGCCACTGCTAGAGTTGCCAGCCAGCTTCTCCTGCCTCCCCCCCCCCCCCAGACAGCCAGAGGGGAACGCGAGCCATCCATGCAGGTGGCGTAACCGTCCATCCTCACCCCCCCCCCCCCCCCCCCCCCGGGGCTAGAAGACACCTTTTCTTTTGCTGTCCCAGTGCTCTTTGCAAAACCAGCATTTTTCAACGGGTGCCCATGTGAAATTCCTCCCTGACCCAAGAGATTTTGCTTTATTTACCCTTGGTTATCTATATAAAATACTATATGGAAAAATCTAGAAATAATTTTTTTTCAGTTGGTCCTTGGGCACTGTCCTTAGCTCTTTTGCTCAAGGCTAGCATTCTACCACTTTGAGCCATAGCTCTACTTCCAGTTTTCTGGTGGTTGATTGGAGAGAGTCTCACGGACTTTCCTGCCCAGGCTGGCTTTGAACTGTGATCCTCAGGCTCCTGAGTAGCTAGGATTATAGGCCTGAGCCATCAGCACCTGGCTCTAAAATTCTCTGGCCTAACAAACTTGGTATCCCAGGACCGGGAAAAGGCTTTCAGGAGCATCATCAGTTCCAGTGTCACTTGCACATCTAATCCGTATCCACTTCTTGGAAGATTCAGACCAGGGCAGGAAGCATGGGGGACCTCCCTACATGAAAATCCCCCCTTGGCAGCCAGTTCCTGCCAATAGTCTCTTTACAGAATAGCATGTGATCTCTAGTGGCTAGACAACACACAGCACACTTGTCAGGATTTCCCTGTTTGATGTGGCTGCCAGGAATCTTGCAGGCCACTTGGGACCCAGTCTGAAAAATGAGCTCATCTCAAGAGCTTATTTTCTTCTTGGGTGCTTCACCTTGGTTAATCTCTCTCTCTCTCTCTCTCTCTCTCTCCCTCCCTCTTCTCCTCCCATGCCTGCCCTCCCTCCCTCCTTCCTTCCTTCTTTGCTTTCTCTTCTTTTCTTCTCTATATCTCCTTTTCTTCTTCCCTCACACCTTCTCCCCTTCCTCCTTCTCTTCCTCCCTCCTTCCTTCTCCTTTTCTTTCCCCCTGCCTCACTGATCCCCTTCTCATGGGCTTCACCAAAGACTTTAAATGGTGACAATTTGTTTTCATCCTCATTAGAAGGGCAGCCAAGCCTTTATCTCTGAGCCCTAAGCTCCCCTGTTTTGCAAGAGGAATTACATGTTTATATTTCAGGGACAGTTTTGAGAGAAGTTGCCTGTAGGCTAGGGAGACAATCTTGAACAAACTTTGTTTGAAAGGTCTGGACAACAGGAACAGATCTTCAGGCTTCCTTCCTTCTAAATGTGGCTTGCAGACATGTTTTGTTGGGGTTTGTGAAGTCTCTCTTAAAAGATGAAATAGAAGCCAACAACTGTGAGTCAGAAGATTTTGAATGAAAGTCTGAGTGCCTGGCAAGTCTAGAAAACCGGAAATTTGACTGACACTGGGTACACGTTGTGTTCTGTGTTCTGATAAGGGCCAGCTGAGTGCACCAGGGAGCAGATGCTCCTTCTGAGGCTGTTTCTCTACTTCGCATTTCCCACTGTCCCCCACCATCCTGCTCTCACATTTGCATGCTAACTGGGCCCATCAAGCTGGGTTGTCCCCAAAGGGTAGGAATTAGAATAAGGACAGTAGTTTTTAAAGGTGTTTTGTGTTGGTCATGGGGCTTAAACTCAGTGTCTGGGTGCTGTCCTGGGGCTCTTTTGCTCAAGGCTCAATGCTCTAACACTTTGCACCCGGCTCCATTTTGGAGTTTCTGGTGGTTAATTGGAGGTAAGAGTCTCAGGGACTTTCCTTCCTGGTCTGGCTTTAAACCACAATCCTCAGATCTGAGTAGTTCAGATTACAGGCATGAGCCACTGGAGCCCCAGGAAAGGTGGAATGTTTGACCTCTCAACATCATGAGGAGTTAAGGGGTTCCAGGGAACAGGGAAGCCCAGGGTCGACTGGAAACATAGCTTCCACGTGGTAGTAAAGATGGGGTGAAGGGATCCTGTGCCTTCAAATGCCACAGCAAAGGTCCTCCAGATCATCTTTGTCAGGACACAAGAAAGTCTTCAGAGGAGCCTCCATCTCCTCAGGCAGTGGGAATCTGGCAAACTAGACCTCATAAGCCCCAGGATCCTCGGCAACCCCTCAGGAATAGGAAGCCCTACCAGGCGACGACACCAGAATTCATACTAATCTTGGGAATTGGAAGACTTGAGTCTTGATGGGATTGGATGAAGCAACCACCAGGCAGTGGTGGCTCACATCTGTAGTCTCAGCTACTTAGGAGGCTGACAGCTGAGGATCCCGATTCAAAGCCAGCATAGATAGGAAAGTCCATGAGATGCTTATGTCCAATTAACCAGCAAAAAGCTAGAGGAGATGGCTCAAGTGATAAAGTGCTAGCTTTGAGCAAAAAGTTCATTGCGTTCAAGCACGTGCAGGCACGTGCACACACATGCACACACACAAAGGAAAGAAAGAGATGGGATATTTCTGGTGTGCTCTTTCAAATATGTATATTGTCCACATATAATATACATGATGAATATTCTTGGTTCAGAGAAGTCAATAAACAAGTGATATCCATGGTTATTTTCCTCTCTTTCATCCATGAATGTAGGCTATTAACATTAGAGGATTTTTCTTACTTGTTTTTGACCTCTACTGGTGTTTGAACTCAGGGCATAAGCACTGTTCATTAGGTTTTCTTAGCTCAAGGTTAGCTCTCCACCACCTGATGGTTAATTGGCGATAAGAGTCTCACAGACTTTCCTACCCAGGCTGGCTTCAAACCATGATCCTCCTAGCCTCCTAAGTAAGATTACAATCATTAGCCACCAGCAACCAGCCTAGTTAACTTTTAATAGTGACATTTAAAAGATAGTGCTATTATATGTTCATCCACTTGATTTCATTTCTTTTGGAAGTGGACAAAAAGACTACATTTCCCAGTCTCCCTTGGGAGAGGTAGAGGAACCATGTGACTAATTCTGGCCTATGGAATGTGGTAGATGAGATGTGTGTTATCTGCAGGTCTGGTCATAAACTTCTCTGCACTCTCTTTCATACTGTTCTCATTCCACAGTGACCTCAGAAGACACATGTTGAAGATGAGGCCATAGAGAAAAGATCTCTGGGGCCTGGCATGACTGGAGCCACGCAGTCCTATGCTAGGAGGCAGAAGGAGTATTTATTGGGCTGTTCCTCTGATATTTTGGGTCCTCTGCTGTTACCTTCTCTGGTTGACTCATGGATATACAAAATATTTTCCCATGGGTAACTCATTTAATTGGGATTAGAGTCCTGCTGAGTTTAGCAGTACAAATACGATCCTGCCTGCTAGATTCCAAGTCTCATTGAATTCTGTGTCCCACACTACTTCTTCAACTGCCAAAGGTCAGACCTCTAGGCACCTTCGAACCTTTCTTCTCATTTTATAGGTGGAAAAATTAGTCTCAGAGGGGACAGAGCTGTCGGAAGCAGAGCTTGCTTCATGAGATGCTTGTCCATCAAAGTTACATGTACTTACTGGGAAAGGACACAAGGAGACTGTATGTATATACAGTTATGTGCACTCTGGGGTTTGAAACACCGAAACAAACACCCTTGCAAAAGGGAGAAGCTAGTAAGATCTTGACTATGGTAGAATCCCTCACAGTTCAGCACCTGCTCCTCAATTCCAGGCCATTCAAATCTGTTTTAAGACTTCCCACTCCCAGCCTGCCTTTTCCCAGTGACCTTCCTTTTCCTGTGACCTTACACAGAGAAAAATCCTTCCTCAACTCCTTTCCATAAGGAGAGTTCACTTTTCCCCAAACTTGAGTGCATATCATAGCTACCTATGGTGTTAAAAAAAAATCCCCTCCCTCCCATTAAATCAGATCTTACAGGGTGGGTGGGAGCATACTGCAGAACTTTTTATAGTCCTTCAAGGGCTTCTGACATGAGGTTCAGTGATAATGACTGTTCTAGGTCTAGATTGGAGTTTTGTGTCCTTGCTGTGTTAGACAAGAAGGGAGTCAGGTGACAAGATGCTCAATGCTCACAGAGGACATTTATCTGAATTGAGGAAGATCACAGTGTCAGGACAGCAGCAAGACTCCTGGTTTGTCCTCAGGAAGTGGTGGGAGGAGATTTAGAAGAACAAAAACTGGAGAAAGTATATGTGTGTGTGTGTGTGTGTGTGTGTGTGT